AAAAGTAATTGATATCGAATAGTTAACGACGGACAATCGTTATAATATGAAAAAAAGATCCATTGTCGTTAAAATTTGAAATTCTTTTGATTGCACTTTTTTACGGATTTTCTTTAATTTTTTTCTTTAGATTGTAGATAGAGCTTCATCTATAAGGTAAGAACATACAAAAACAACTTATATCGTAATACTTCAAATTTCAGAAATTATCGTCCTTGTCTTGAAGAAAGAAGATTGAAAATCGCAGCTATTCAAGGTTTCTGTCCAATTTTGAGCAATCCGAATGTCTGAAAATTACGTTTGTTATTTTTTTTTCGCCCGATGATGTTCCATAAAAAAACTACTATTGGAACAGAGGGCAGGGACATTGCTCGACATTCATTATTTTCTTCAGTTATAGGGTCATTTTAATTAGAATTATTTGAGTAAAAATATTGTAGCGGCTAACAATTATGTCTTAAAAACACAAGTGGATCGGAGGGCGGTGGCATTGAGAAAATTTGATTTTATAGGCGCTATTCTATACGGGGGAGGGATAGTTTTATAAAATTAAGAAAAAATTAATGCCGATCTGATTTCATTCAGTTTCTTTATTCGATGAAGTGTATAGTCAAATATGTTAGGAAAAACAGTGTATAGTTTTGCAACGTGATGATGATAAAGTATTCGGACACAGACGTCGAAGTGCGCTGGGCTTTTTGTATCGTTCAATCGTTTTATTTCCAATTTTATGTCATGATGCATTGCAGATTTTTAAATAAAAAAGTAGTTTTTTTTGCATCATGAATTGAGTTATTAGGGTTTTATATGATTTTTATTGGTTTTTATGAGTTTCGAATATCAGCGTAGTGGCCAAAATATCGTAGTTGCTTAAATATTAGTAACCTACCGACATAAACTCACCATCTTGGATTTATTGAGAAATTACTCTTGTAAATTTAATTTGTCTATTGCGTTTATTTCTTTGGATGCAATTAAAGAATCTACCTAATCAGAATAATAAACGTTTTGAATGTGAAAATCAGAACATAGTTTGAATTTTTGAAAAAAAGGCTAACATGAGTGCTGAAGAATTTTTCGAAAAGGGATGGGTTTCGAATTTTTGTAGGACGTGTATTAATTTGAGGCGTTTAAAATATGAGAATAACGATGAAGCGAGAGCAGTCAACGTTTAATTTTCCAGTTATGATCAACTAAACGATCGGAACGCATTGTATTTAAAAAAAAAAAACTAAATTAATCAATCAAATGTAGCGAAAAAAGTAGTTTTTCGACGAAGTGAAGAAGAAATGCCGGAAATATTAAATCGGGAAGCTCTGCAAATGAGAAATCTAGCTATAAAAATTGCCATTGACGGAAACATCGATGAATGTAAGTTCAAACATTAATTTTCGAAAGTAACTAATAATATTTTCTTTTGAACATACCAACCACATTTTTTTAAAGAATTTAATGAAATATTAACAATTTTTTAAAAACGTACGTGATCCAATTCATTCATTTTTCCCCATTTTTATTCTCCGTCTTCAAGTTGGTCGTTTTTGTGTCGCCCGTTTCGCTGAGAAGATCTGAAAGAAGAATCAAAATGATAACGTAAGTTGTTTAAACAATAAAATATAATCAAAATCACTAATTAACGTAGTATTTAAAAAATAGCATCGAAATGCTTTAAATTAAACAGTTCTGAGCAAATTAATTAGACAAAATTCGAGTTTTTTGAATGGCGAATGTTGAGAAAAAAGGAAACAGGGTAAAACATTGCTTTCCGATAATCGGCGGCATGCCAGTTTTTCCACCTGAGCGTAGTCCGCATAATATCGTCATTTTAGTTAATTACGGATTTATTTCTACAGTAAACCAAAATTCCATGTATTTCTTTGCCACGTTTTAGCTTTCATTTTTAGTGTTAAAACATTTTGTTAGAACTTTTTGATTATTATTATTTTTATCGCAGCTTTTTAAATTTGTTTGTCTTTAAATGTTTTTAAATCAATTAAATTCGAGTTTTGTAGGCTAGATCAGCTGATGACTTCATTTTCTTTATTGGACGACAGCTTTTTCTCGACTATTTACGTATGTTTTTTAACCATTTTAAAATCAGTTTTCACCTATTTCGAGTTAAATTAAAAATAATCGCTTAATAACATTTTGAACATTGCGCTTTCCAAAGTTTCTACAACGAATATGTCTCGGACCGCTGTGAGCGTGTCTCGAGAACATTCGTTGAGTCGGATTTGAGAGAGCCCGCACGGGTGCCGCGCTTCTCGTGCCACGAGACGCGGACCAACACCTCGCATCGGTGACCCAAAGGGTCCGACCCAGGAGGGAAATGCCTGGGGAAGTCTAGGCGCACACGGTGGAGTGGCGTCGAGGCGGTTCGTTGTAGAGACTGCCGAATTGGCGACTTTAGTTAAAGCAATTTTCCTCTTGTAAGCGCAATAAAAAAGAAACTCAAAAATCGATATCTCGAAAGGTTTGGTAGAATTGGAATAAAAACAGTCGTTGAAGTGTTTCTTCGGTTGTTTCCACTCTACCGATGTCTGGCTGGGTCTCGGTATAGGCCAAGCATGGCGGTGTCGAAGTGCAGACTTCCTGCACTCCACTAGCCTCCTCCCCGAGTAAACCCACCAACATCTTTCGAAATAGCTAAAGAATCACTGATTATGACTGATAATATTACCCTTTCTAGTTTAAACCTTTCTCTCACCTGTTTTTCGCTTTGCTAACTAAATATTATACTTATTACTATTAGAAAATTCAATACTTCATTTCCTTTTTTTCATGGGAATTGGAATACGAAACAGCATGACGAGGAACAATGGAGATGGATTGCAGCTGTTGAAATAGTGACTGTATTCATTATTTAATCTATTTTTTTAATGTTTTTTTTTCAGATTGAAGCAATTTGAAACTTGATCATGTGAGCGGCACTTGATTGTTTGAGAGACTTCTAAAGGGCAATGAGAACCCGACTGCTGGAGAAATCGATATTTTAGCTCAAATATCCAATGGAAATGACTCAAAAATAATATATAGTAGCATGTTTGTAATTTTTTTTTGTAAATGAAATGTAATTTTTTTCAGATAGAAGAAAATATGCTGCGGTTGTTAGAACCAAAATGAGCTATCGTCGGATCGTCATTCTATCATCGTCTACATGGGCAATGCTTTTTAAATTTTGTTTTATTGTTTTCTTGTCTTGTTTCAATAATTTTTATTTGTATTTTAACAATATCCAGATTGTCCGTTTTCTTTGAAAATCGCTCGAATGTGGTCGAAGATTGAATGGAATTAGTCTCAGCGTGTCGTCTTTTACTGCTAGAAAACGGAATATCTTTCCATAAGCTCAGTGTCATGGCCGGTAAGTTTTTTGAATTTGAATTAGTTGTGTACGTTTACAAAAATCTCAACGGCTTTAATTTGCGCAGGAATTCTAAAATATTCTAACATGAGAGATGGGTGGGATTTCAAAAAAAAATTTTAGAACGGGGGTTTTGAATTTTATAAAATTTAAAAGAGGATTTGCGCAGAAATTTGAAAATGTTCTAATATAAGAGCGGGGTTTGCGCGGTAATTTAAAATATTTTGAATACCCTCGCAAACCCCTCTTTTATGTTAGAACATTTTTAAACTACCGCGCGCAGGGATTCGCGCGGGAATTTAAAAAAAATCAAGAGAGGGTTTGCGTGATATCCAAAAAATTATTGCCGAGTAATGTTTAAAATGTCTTTTTAAATTTCTATTCTTTGAATTTTGTATTGGATTATTTCTGTTCTTAGTTTTTTAATGCTGTAAATTGTCAACAATAAGATGGAAATTGAAGCAAAAATTACTAATTTTCGCTTACGCCTAATATCTATAGACATACATATATATAGGTATTTTACATGTGTTTGATAAGTAGCCAATGGCTAAACCAGCTGTTGTAACCGGGTAGGTTTAGAGAAATGCGTGTTTGTCATGATCACAGTGTATGTCTATATGCAGGTCTTAGGCGTAGGCTTAGGTTTGTCTTAATCGTAGACTTTGGTTAGTCTTAGGCGTAAGCTTAGGTTAGTCTTAGGCTTGGGCGCGGGCTTAGTACCGCGCCATTTGGAATTGGGCCAGATCGAACTTTTTTCCCACTGAAGTTTGAGAGGCTAATGGCACCCCTTTTATCTGAAAGTACATAAAAAATCGCCCTGGTCGCCCACGGCTTCCGGTGGAGCTGATTTTAATTAAGGTTTTGTAACAGAACCTGATAAGCTTTTCCTTTACAACGCTATTTGGATTCCGTATGGGTTTGTTCCATGCATTTACCAAAATACCATTTTTATGAACACTCGGTCAGATTTGTGACTTATAACCAGCTAATTAGATTCGCCCTAAATCTTTGCGGAAGTTTTCTCAAAAAAACTCCTTCCCATCTGTAAAAGCATCATCCACAAAGCGTTAATATCTGGTCACCAGCCGTAAATATTCTATGAACTAGGGCTGCTCGTTTTTCCTTCAAAATTTATTTTTTTCGCGCAGCATTGTCTTCAAGATAAAAATTCGTGGGAATTTGGGAAATTTTTGGGCCTGGTGGTTATACATTTTTCTTCATTTCTACGATCACAAAACTTTTGCCGACCTTTTAACATCTGGAACGAATTTCTTATATGTTTATGTTTATTTTTCTAATGTTTATTGGATGTTCTCTCATAGATTAAATGCGTTTTATGCATGACTGTCACTGATATATTCGGTGTTCGGCGACTGCTGTTTGCGTGTAGATTTGCGGCACCCGCTTTTTTCTTAGTCTTCCGCGCAATTGCTGGTTATTTCGCATTTTATGGGTCAGTTCGAGAAAAAAAAAATTTTCAAATCGGGTAACATTGGAAAAATAAGGCTTTTGCGAGTGGTGAATGGAAACCATAACCGTCACTCGGACATCCAATTCATCAGGAATTTTATTCTGAATGAACATAAGTTATTATGCGAATTTATTATAAAACGGTTCTTATTTCCGGAAAATAAATTTAAACAAGAACGGCCGAGAATGGTGGGCTGATAGAGAAGCTCAATGTCTTCAAATCGATTGGCTTCTTGCTTACGTAATTGTTGTCAAATCCCAATTTTCCAGTTTCGCCTTTTTTGCCTTCTTCCTGAATTAAACGATTGAAATGAGATACATCTTTTTAAAGTAAACTCATACTAAATTGTTAACTTTAACTGTTCCATTTTTAACGGTTACGACAGTGAGTTCGAAATTTACAGGATCTTCTGAAACTAAAGGAACGATTTTCTCAGCACCGTCCTGAACGTAATTTATTTGAATGGTTCAAAATCAATGAGATCTCACTGAAAAATCGATATTAACATTCTTTCCATCGTAGTAAGCTGGTGGGATTTTTTCATTCATTACGACTCCTCGATAATCGATTTCAATAAAAGCCCCTTCAGTAGTAGTTTTTGGACTAACTGCATCAACGGCAATCTTAATTGATCCGGATTTCTGGTCATATGAGACGTCAGACAAATGAGTGTTCCCTGAAAATTCTCTTATTATAATATATTTCTCATGTAATTATTTATTACAATCTGGCTCGCCATGAGACAACTTTGCAGATGTGTAGACTCTCGCTTTAAGAACTGTAATAAGTCTTGAAGCTTTAAGATTAATCGATTTGACTTCTTCATTAACTTTCAGATCGATTTTTATTTTCGCAAAATAATCGGTGCTGGAATATTGTAAAATTAAATGCATTGAAAATATGACTTACTTGTTAGCGATAAAACGAAGCGAATATTTATCAGCTTTATAAGAAACCTGAAACTCTGGACTTGGTTTTGTATGACTTTTTGATCTACCGCTCCGATAGTTGGAAGAAGAAATAGGAAAAGGAGTTGAATAAAACGAGACATTCTTATTGAATGAAGAATAAATTGTCGCCCTTTAACCTGTCTGCCGTACTTCTGATTCGGATAATGTTAATTGACTTCCTGGTTGATAACGAGAGGAAACAGAATTGGTCGGGATGTTTTTTTGCAAAAAGTATCAAAGAACTGGTAGATGTGTATACATCATTTATAAATTTCCCAGTTGGAAAAAACTATTGAAAGAATACTTTTTAAAAATAGGCAAACGATATAAGATGACATTAATTCCTAACGTATACGAATATTTCGAACCTTTTCAAAGCACAATTTTCAAAAAAAAAATAGTATAGAAGACAATGCAGAAAATTTTAAACGCGCAGATTGCGTTTTCTCCGTTTATACACTGACGCAAGTTTGCACACGTTTCAATTCACACCAAACAATCTCACTTTAAAGAGCGTTTCCCAATATGCGCTACCAGAATTTTTCGCTACAAGACCTTGTAGTTCAGACGCTTTAGCTTTTTTAATCAAATCAATTTTTTGTAGGAAATGAGAAATAAAAGATTGAACGCAATGTATTGTCGATGTCGTGCACCTGCCGATTGATTGCTGTAGAGTTGGGTCACAAGTGTCGATTTACGCGCGGGTATTTTTACGCTACGTTTCTAAGTGCGGTTTGTCCGTGTGGAGTACAGAGCGCGCATCTCATCGCCTCAAGACCGTTTCTTACATTTAGCCAATTTTTCCAAGTTTGTGATCCGACAACAATTTTTCAAATTTGTGATTCGACAACTCGCCTTACCACGTAAACGATCGTTTTTTAGAAACAGGATGTAATTTCAAACCTAAATTTTATTTGCGTTGACTTTTCAAATTTTCGCAGCTAAATTGAATAGATTTTATTATTTTTTAAAAATTATAATGCCATTAATATAAGTTCTTTTGCTAAAACTAAAAATTTTATGTGTCAACAGTGTTCACATTTTCTATTCTTTACAATTTCGTTCATTGTCAAATAAGGCAAACTACATACTTTCACATGTCTGCCAATTTTATGTGTGGTTTTTGGTTTTCACTCAATGCACACTGAACACTTCGATGTGCATGCGAAACGCGTTTCGTTTTATTTCGTTTCTTTCGCATTTTTTCTTTTTATGGCAGTTCTTCGAAAAAAAGCACAACAACATGCATTTCGAAAATTTATTTCAACCTTCACACCAATTCCTTATCTGCTTGTCGGGAGATTGTCTAAAGGGCGGTTTTGTTGTTGTTCGATTTGAGGGCACTTTTTATTAACCTGATTCGTTCGAACGAAGTGAACGCGGAAGTAATTTCGGCGAGAGATAGACGGCAGTATAAATTTGAAGGACAGATAATTTCTATTTCATTTTTTGTTCCGCGTCTGCCCCAATTTTCGAACTTTTTTCGCAATTTTCAGATGGCGTTCGAAGTGAAAAAATACTCGATTTATTTCAATGCAAACGTGTAAGAATTTTAAATTGATTTAATTTTAATCTAAATTTGTTCAATTTTAGAACTGATTATTTGGCTAGAGTTCAGGTGCATTTGAAATTGAATGAGGATGTCACCTCCTTCAGCTTCAAGGCATCCAAGCTTCTTACAATCAAAACAATAACTGTCGCCACAGCAGCACATGTTTACAGAGAGCGCGCTGACTGTGAGTGGGCTCAACCTATGAATGATATCGAGCTTAATGTGTGTTTTTTTTTCAGATTCTCTTCTTGACATCACCGACTACACTTATGATGAGGATTCTGAGACTCTCACCATCCCAGTTCAATACTTTGACCCAAAGAGCACTGCGGAAGGTGCTTACATTGAGATTGAATATCAAGGAGTGGTAATGAACGAGGAGGTTCCACCAGTTTACCTTCAAAATGAGGCTTTCATAAAAGTCGATTTGACTGTAAGTGTCCAATAAATGATCAATTATCGCAGAAGGGTGGTTTTAGGGTGGAGCTCAAAAATTGTTGCCAGTGATTACCGAAGTTCCAGTGGATGTTGAGCTCACTATCGTTAGCGATTACAGAGGAGGAGTTGAAATTAGCAATTTGGTATGATTGAATTGAAATCTCTTCAGTGGTGTTCAATTACGTTTTTGCAAAAAAATTATATACATTCGTTTGTTGTTTTTTTTTTGTTCTCTGAAATTGTGTTAAATTATAGAAATTAAAAAACTGGAAAAATAAAATTAAAATAAGTCGATTTAGCCAATCGCATTATATGAAATCCTCAAGAAAACCGTTTTAAAATATTTTTTCAGGTTGCCGGCGAGCATCACGACAACGGAGATGGCCGTTTTGCGAATGTTTACGTGAGCGAGGGACCAGTTTCGTTGGACTCGTTGAGTTTCACCATTAACCCACCAACTCCACTCATTCTTCAATAAAAATGGCATTGTAATGTGCATATTTCTTTATCAGTCATTTTATTAATTATATGCTTCTATATTAGGAAAATTTAATGAACCCGAGAAGTTTGAAGATAGTCTCTTCCTTCTATTTGCTCATACTGATTCGTTTCAAAATATTTTCCCAACTCGATTCTTAATGTTTTAATAACAACTCTAGTGCGAGAAAATAAATGCATTTTTAAATTTTCAATTTTTTATCGAAAATTCCCGAAAAGCAAATAATTATTAATTAAAGACAAGGATCACATCTTCTGGTTTAACGGCTCCATTCGCCCGGTGAACTTCCACTAAATCTCCATTTTCGTAGAAGCGACTCTTCTAAAAAAATTACATTATTTTTCAATAGTTAAGCTAAAATTTCCAGTACATTTAATGGTTGAATATCCAAAGGAAAATTTGATAGCACACGTATTTCAATAATTGTTGGCTCATTGGTGATCGATGGTATTATGGCAGTTTTATTCATCTCAAAATACATTTTGGAAACGCTTAAGTTTAGAATAAACTTTGTTACCAGATCGTGTCCAGAATAGAGAACATCCAAATATGCGCCATTTCTGGTTTCAAGTGCAGTTACTGGGCCCAATAATGGAGCAATCCATGTATGGGGATCAAATGTCGATTTGACGACTTCAATCGTTTGGTTAACCCCTGAATGATTTCATTTGATATAATTGTGCTATGTAGATTTTGAAAAGCTCCAAAAATTGGTTATATGTAGTAGTTGCATATAGTCGGCGTCCGGCGACTGCTGTACGCGGGTAGATTTACGGGAATGCGTCTTTCGAAATGGTCTCGCAAGGATTAACAGGTTATTTCAAATTTTACGGACTCGTTCGATAATTTTTTAATCGAGTGACGTTGGAAATTCAAGGAAATGCGAAAATCATCAAGAAAAATGAAGAAGTTCACGTGAAAACAGCGCAATAAGCATTCACGCGTGGCGAGACCTTTTCAAGGCGCATGCGCGTAAATCTACCCGCGTACAGCAGGCGCCGGACGCCGACTTTATGATTTTTATATCTTACGGATGTGAAACCGAATGTTTTGAGTTTTTCTACAATCTGCAATGGTCCACAACGAAAGTTCTTGAAATCTTACAATCCGGTTTGCCATGGTAAATTTCGGCAGCCTGGTAGAAGGAAACCTTGCGCAATTTAATACCGTAATTGCATTTGAAGCGAAACTCGCGGATCACAGTCAGCGGTTTTGCATAAATACGCATGTGTGCGTCAAAGTCGCCATGTCTGAATTATGTATAGATGTAATTTAATTAATCCAATCATCCCAGCCTTGGTGAAATTAGGAAAATTTAAATACAAAATAAATACTTAAATAATACTTTTTAATTTTTTTTTAAATTCTTGAACATTCACAAAGAGTTAAGACGCTAATCCTACCATGACTTCAAAATTTATGTTTGAACCAGAAACTCACACATCCACATTTAACTCAATACAGGGTGTCATTTAAGTTCCCGCACAACTTTGAAGACGTATATTTCTGAAACTAAAAGTCCAAATCAAACGAGACTCAAAATATTTTTTATCTATAGTATAACAAATATTTATTTATTAACTCTTTTTGATTCGGCCTCCTTTCGCAGCTATGACTTCACGGAAACGCTTCGGGTAGGATGCGACTGTGGTACGCAGGTATTCGATGGAAAGATTGTCCCATTCCGCCAGTAATGTCTTCTTCAGAGCCTCTATACTTGAGTGGGGTTTTGCGTTGACCTTCTCCTGCAAGACCCCATCACGGGAAAGTCAAGCGGGTTCAGGTCTGGGGAGCAATCAGGCCATTCGGATGACTTGATGAAGTCGGGAAAATGGGTCTGGCACCACTCCTGAGTAGTTTTGGCAGTGTGGGCGGCTGCTCCGTCATGTTGAAAGACCCATTTCTGCCCACCGAAATGCGTTTGGGTCCAGGGCATCACATGCTTCTCCAAAATGTCCCGAACGTAGACTTCTTTGTTCACTTTCACCCCCTGATCCGCGAAAACCAGGGGGCACTTCCCGGTTGAGCAGATGGCAACGAAAACCATCATGCTGGCAGGATGTGAGGCTGGATGATATGTTCTTCTTTTCTCAGAAGCTTGCTGGGATGTCTGGGCAAGTACTCAATGGTTTTGTGAGTTGAATGCCGTCTCCACAGTGAACAGCTTCTCGTCGGAGAAGACAGTGACGAGGTGTTGTCCAGACCGCGTGCGAGCAAGAAGTCGTTTTGCTTTTTCGAAGCGTCTCTGCTTGCTGACGGCCGATAGAATTGCCGCTTTTTGGACACGATATGGGGTCAGTCCAAGCTTCGTTTTGACAATTTGTTCCATAGCGAAGATGCTCATTCCCATGTCTAACGCCATCTTTCTCATGCTCCTGTGGGGGTTTCGCCTGATCCTCGATTTGACGGCGTTGATCTTCTGAGGAGTGGTTACTGAGACGAGTCTTCCTTGTCTGGGACGGTGACTGGTCGTATTTAGCTCCTTGAAACGTTTGATGGTGTCGCAAACCGTTCTACGAGGCACACCGACCCGTTGAATGATGTCTCTCGAGCTCACATTTTGCTTATGAAGTTCGATAATGGAAGCGCAATGGATGTTAGCCTTCGCCATTTCTCGGAAACACATCCGAATGAGGTGAAACTTGGAAAGTAAGTAAAATATACCTTATTTAACAAAAATAAATTGTATTGGTGCACGAAAAGTGCGACAGCCAAGCTCTTCATGGCGTCAAACTTTTGTGCGGGAACTTAAATGACACCCTGTATGATATTTGTCGACGCGAATATTGCCGGCTTCGACAATAAATGGTAAAACGCCTAAAACCTTGAAGAAAAGCATGTGACTGTGCGAACGAGTGTGCGTGTCTCTAGCATGTGTTGATGGAGCTTCTCGACTTCAGCTTTCAGAATAAGATAAACTTCGAAACGCGATTTCAAAATTTGTTTATTTGTTTGTAAACAAATTTTATTGACACTGACAATGTTTTACACAAATGTGTACACCTGGCCTGGTGGGCAACTGGTTCCAATTATGTACGTAGTAAAGCTTTCGATAAATTTCAGTATAAAAGTTTGAAAATAGGTGTCGCTCTTCACTTGAATCTGACTTGTCTTTCAATAAGGTATGTTGTCTTAGCACTCATATTAATTTAAAATTGTTTATTAAAGATAATGCTGAAGCTGTTTCCCGTTGTTGTTGTACTTTGTGTCAGTCGTGTTCTAGCTGGTAAACACTCACTAACCGATTTAATATTTCTTTTAACAAATTTATTTTTAGAAGGTGGCTACGCTACTAGCGGTGGTGGAGGCGGATATAGTAGCGGCGGCGGTGGAGGAGGCGGAGGATATGGAGGAGGCGCTGCAGCACCAGCTCCGGCCCCAGCTCCAGCTTCATCAGGAGGATACTCAGGAGGCGGCGCCAGTGCTGGAGGAGGAGGATATGGAGGAGGAGCAGCTCCAGCTCCAGCTCCAGCTCCATCAGGAGGATACTCAGGAGGTGGCGGTGGTGCTGGAGGAGGCGGATATGGAGGAGCAGCAGCACCCGCACCAGCTCCAGCTCCAGCAGGAGGATACTCAGGAGGCGGCGGCAGTGCTGGAGGAAAAGGATATGGAGGAGCAGCAGCACCCGCACCAGCACCCGCACCAGCACCAGCTCCAGCTCCAGCTCCAGCTCCAGCTCCAGCTCCATCAGGAGGATACTCAGGAGGTGGCGGTGGTGCTGGAGGAGGCGGATATGGAGGAGCAGCAGCACCCGCACCAGCTCCAGCTCCATCAGGAGGATACTCAGGAGGCGGCCTCAGTGCTGGAGGAGGAGGATATGGAGGAGCAGCAGCACCCGCACCAGCACCAGCTCCAGCTCCAGCTCCAGCTCCATCAGGAGGATACTCAGGAGGCGGCGGCGGTGCTGGAGGAGGAGGATATGGAGGAGCAGCAGCTCCCGCACCAGCACCAGCACCAGCTCCAGCTCCAGCTCCATCAGGAGGATACTCAGGAGGCGGCGGCAGTGCTGGAGGAGGAGGATATGGAGGAGCAGCAGCTCCAGCAGCAGCTCCAGCTCCAGCCCCAGCTCCAGCTCCATCAGGAGGATACTCAGGAGGCGGCGGCAGTGCTGGAGGAGGAGGATATGGAGGAGCAGCAGCTCCCGCACCAGCTCCAGCTCCAGCCCCAGCTCCAGCTCCATCAGGAGGATACTCAGGAGGGGGCGGTGGTGCTGGAGGAGGCGCAGCAGCATCTTCAGGAGGATATGGCGCAAGTGCTGGTGGTGGTGCTGGCGGTAGTGTATATTCACCAGGACGCATGCTTCGCTATCGCTCCTAAATGTTAAATCATTCAAACTTAATGTCTTTCATTCTCTGATCTTTAATTCATTATAAGGCCAATTACGGTTTTAACTTTGAATAAACGTGTATTCTTCTCAATCGTATTTCCATTTTTCATTTAATTCGCACTACTAGAGCAATGTTGTCTTGTTGGCGTTATCGGCTGGCCGCGATTGTCGGTGCTTCCGCGGCCGGTGTCTATACAATCGATGCAACTAACGAAAAACGGTTTCGCAATCAGAAGGTTCGAATGATTTTATTTTCAAAGATCCCGATGATCAGGATATTCAGAACAATTACTTCAAGCAATCAAAACGAAAAAGCAAATTAACTGAATTGAACCGAAAACCAAGAAAGCGGCTTCCAACGAGAGAGAAGATGGTGAACACCTTGAAAGAGAAGGACTTCGATGTTCTCATCATTGGCGGTGGTGCTACAGGGGCAGGGGTGGCGCTTGATGCTCAGACCCGTGGGCTCCGAACTGCTCTTATTGAATATGACGACTTCTCATCTGGAACCTCTTCAAAATCAACAAAACTTTTGCATGGAGGCGTTCGTTATTTACAAGCCGCCATTCAGAAACTTGACTACGAGCAATACAAAATGGTGAAGGAGGCGCTTTTTGAGCGATCGAATGTCATGGAAGTGGCACCGCATTTGACTTGCGCCGTGCCGATCATTCTTCCAGCATACAAATGGTTTGATCTACCATATTATTGGGTAGGAATCAAAGCATACGATTTCGTGGCCGGATCGCGAATACTAAAATCGTCGAAATTTGTATCAAGACGAGAGACAATCGAGCTTCTGCCAGTAATAAAAGATGACGGACTCAAAGGCGGAATAGTTTATTACGACGGACAATCAAATGATACCAGAGTGAATTTGTCGGTAATAATTAGCGCAATTCGCAATGGAGCACAGGTTCGCCAAAAAATATAACGATTTTCTAGTGAATTGGATATTATGTTTAGTGTGTTAATCATACAGAGGTCATCGAGTTAATAAAATCGCCAGAGGGTAAGATTATCGGTGCAGTTGCGAAAGATAAGGTATCAAGAAAATTGAAGGGGGCTTAAATTCTCAACATTCGACTGTTCCTCATGTCAGATCACCGGCGAAACGTACAAAATTCGGGCAAAATGCGTCGTGAATGCCACTGGGCCGTTTACCGATACAATTCGACGAATGGCCGATGAGAATGTTAAACCGATTTGTATGCAAAGCTCTGGAGTGCATGTGACACTTCCGAAATATTATTGGTACGAACACGAAATGAACAGAAAATCTATCACGTGTCACGCGATTTTTAAGTCCCGGAAAAACGGGTTTGCTCAATCCGAACACCTCGGATGGTCGAATAATTTTCGTGCTTCCATGGCAAGGAATGGCGATTGCTGGCACCACCGATGTTGCCGCGAAACTCACTTATTCTCCGACGCCAACCGAAGACGATATTCAATTTATTATGAACGTGTAGCATTTATATCGAAATTTCATTGAATTCTTGATTAAGGAACTCAAAAATACTTTGGGACGAGATCTGACGATTCGACGAGAAGATGTTTCAAGCGCATGGTGCGGGTTGAGGCCATTGGTGTACGATCCAAAAAAGGGGGATACTAAAAGCCTTGTGAGGAATCATATTGTTGAGGTTGATTTCATTTAAGGCTCAAACATTTTTTTTCAATATTCAGGTGTCTGATTCTGGCCTAGTGACCATTGCTGGAGGAAAATGGACGACATTCAGGAGTATGGCGCAAGACACCGTTGATGAATGCATCAAGGTAATATCGAGAAGAGAATTATAATCTCACCTTCTTGTTCAGCATCACAATCTTGAAGCAAGTAACATCTGCGTTACACCTGGTCTGCTTATTGAAGGGGCTCATTTGTGGAGTCCGATGCTTTATTCAAGAATTGCTCAAGAATACGGCATTGAAGAAAATGTAACGCAATTTTTTTTTTGGTTTCTGATTTATAAATTTCTTTGTGCATAGGTTGCCAAACATTTGTGTTCGACATATGGAGATCGAGCTCATGACGTTGCAAAATTGTGCACATCGACGGGAAAAAAATATCCGGCTCTTGGCGTCCGACTTCATCCTGACTTCCCATATTTGGAAGCAGAAGTCAGATATGCGGTTCGAGAATACGCGCAGACGGCCATCGATTTTCTCGCGAGACGAACGCGAATCGCGTTTTTGAATTCGTATGCGGCCAATCAAATTTTGCCAAGGGTTATTCAAATAATGGCCGAAGAACTCAAATGGAGCGCAAGAGAGCAGCAAAGACAGTACGACATGGCGAAAGAGTTTCTGAAAACGGAAATGAATGAAATTCCGGGCTACAATCCGAAAATCGATGGGCTCAGAGAAGAATTGACAGAGTATTAAAACTAAAAATACAACTATCCTCAAATGTTTATAGAATTGAGAAACAAGTCACTGGCTCCGTTTTCAAGCTTCTGGATTCGGATTCAAAAGGCTTTTTCACTGCATCCGATCTTCGCAACTATCTGAAGGATAATGGGCACGAGCTTCCGAATGATCTCGTCGATGACATGTTCGCTGAGGCTGATTTATACGGCGAACGTCAAATCTCGTTAATGGACTTGACCAACGTGACAAGCAAATTCCCTCTCATGTTCGATATAATAACTATATATGTGTATGAATTTTAGATAATCGCCGGATTGAAAGCTGGAAAAAGGAAAGGCCGTCGAATGTTCGATTTTCTCTCAGAATCGGAATGTGTCAAAAAGAATTGTTATGTGGAGTTTGACGACGAGAAACCGAGCCAAAAGAAGCGGGCCGAGAATGCGTCAGTAGTCATGCCGAAACTCGACGACTCATCTAGTTTATTATGATTAGCTTCTGTGAAGAGGAAATAAATGTTAGGTTCTACTCAGGCAAATCAAATAAAATATTTTGAGAATCAAATATTCAGTGATAAACTCTAAAATATTTTGAGAAATTCTAAAGTCTATTGATACTTTCTAAAACTTATTGAGAATCAATAAATTTTAAAAATTTGGAATTTGTAAATTAAATCTTTTGAGAAAGTTAAATCTTTTGAGAAAGTGTAAAGTATCTCAATATATTGTGAGACTTTAAAATTTGAATAGGGCCCTTATGACTTCCACTGACGCAATTTGCGGCGTCTCTTTTTAAGATCTCCTAAATTCCAATAAATAATTTATGTTTTTGATGTTCCTTCCGTTTTTTTTAGCTTTTGGTAATAGTTTCTTCACTTCAGTGATGGACGTATTCATGAAATGCAAGTTTTTATAATAAATGTTTAACACTACCTTAAATCTGCATTGTTTTACATGCTGAATTTGAAACAGTTGTGCCTAAACATGTCATTGCATGAACAGGTTCATGAATTTTAAAAACACGCACAATTATTACAATTAATTACAATTATACTTCAGTTTCTAATGATTTCGATATTTTAGAAGATCGGGAAAAGTGTGGAACAAATATTCCAGAAACATTGGCCGATAGATTTAAGGAACGAGGTAAATACAGCAAATTCAATGAGCAGGTGCCCATGTGGATCACGGCCATGGATATTTTCCACCTTTTTCACGAGGGAACACGTATAATAAAAGGTACTTCAATTATGTCTCTCCTTTTTCAGCATTTAAAAATTGAAGATTGTCTTTTAGAAGTCTTCGTTAAAAACGAAATAAATATTTTTCGATGCGAAGCTATTGATGTGAAAGCGAGACTGCCATCTTCGGTAAAGTCGCTATCAGGAAAATTCAATGACATTAATAGGTCCGAAAAAGCTAGTGTAAGTTAATTTACCACTTGCAATTATCATCCTTTGAAGATTTTTGAAGTGAAAATTGTTTCTAACGCCATGATCGGAACCATCCCTCCGTTAGGTTCAGCTGTTGTGTTGCTTATACATGCCTGCTACCGATGGATGGTGTCACCGACTCGCTTAGTTACAAATACAACATTACCAAACAAAGTAATATGGGATCGTTAGCTATGTACATAATAGAAAATTTTTATTTCAGATCGCAGGTATTTGCAAATTATTAGAAATTCTAATTTTAGATGGGGCGCCTCGATTGTTTTCTGGTTCAAAAGTGCACGTAAGTCGTTTTTTTTTGCAATTTTAAGAGTTATTGAACGTTGTAGCATCATGCTATTGTCGTTGATATAAGAAATAATACTAATGATTACTGTATTTATTGTTTCAGCAACTTATATACCATTTGTACAGTAATGTCAGGCGGTGTGGTCAGCTGTCGGCAATAAGCACGCAAGCGCATGAGCACATTTATCACGTTATCAAGAGAAACATGTGCTCGGAACAGACAAACGGGATTGGATATAGTATTTTGAGAAAGTTAGACTCATTCAGTTATTTTTTAAAACTGGCAATTTTCAGCTATAAACTATATCACGAGATTGTGACTTCATTGAAAATGCGTTTCAACGCGAATCCGGATTTAATTAAGAAGTCATTTTATCGCAAAGAACTCATGAAATTAATCGAAAAACGACAAATTCAATCATCAAAATTTGTAAGTTCAACATTTTCTTTCAATATATGCAACGAATTCCTTATAGCAACGTTGTGCGTCATTCGCAGAAAAAGGAGAAAATGCGAAAAGAATAAATTGATTCATTTATTTTTTTCTGATTTTTATTATTAATATATTCATTTCGCATTAATATTGTAATAAATGAAATGTTCATACATATTCAATTATTATGTATGTTATTACATTCTATTTGTGTGAAAATTGCTCGATAACGTATGATATTACATAATATTGGACAGAGTTTATTGAGAACAATCTAAAATTTATTGATATATTCTAAAGTTTATTGAGACAAATCTAAAACTTATTGATAAACTTTAAAGTTTATTGAGACAAATCTAAAACTTATTGATAAACTTTAAAGTTTATTGAGACAAATCTAAAACTTATTGATACACTTTAAAGTCTCACAATATTCATTGAAACTTATTGATAAATTCTAAAATCTTATGAGATTTCCTAAAGTTTATTGAGACAAATCTAAAATATTATAGAGACACGTTAGCCTCTCAACGAACCTCATAAGATTTTAGAATTGTCTCAAAATATTTTTTTTTCATTTGCCTGAGTATCCATCGATCCATTGTTTACCCTTTTGTTCGACTTCTCTTTCTCTTTGAATTTATTGATTTGTGCGCGCCAGGAAGCGAACAGATGGCGAATTGCATTTGCATGCCTTCGCCTTCACCAACCAGGTTTTTTCTTTGGTCAAATTTGGTGTTTATTGATCGTTTCAAGTGGCCTGTTTGAATGTGTTTGTATACGATTTTTCACCGGATCATAACGGCTCACGGGCCACTTGTATAAACATGTGCTCTATCTTCTGCGAGCAACACCACTATATTCTCAGAGACATAGAGAAGCCGAAGAAGCGTGTGAACTGTCGCTAACTGCCACCGGATATTGTTTGAACATGGCTCACGGATACTGTCTGTCTTGGTTTCTTACCCGACTCTCTCACTTATAATTACTTACCAGCTTTTACGGCGTTTGAATTCTGATTCTGTTCTACCGAATACTTTCTAGTTCTCAATTTCGTGATTCGTATAATTTATACGTTAATCTAAATTTTAATGTGAGGAAATATTCAGATGAAAGCGATTTCGTTTCTAATAATTGTGTTCACTTATCGAATACAGAATATTTCTGCAGTGAAATGCCATAAATGTGCAACCTCAAATGCTGTTTGGGTTAAAAAAAAATGGCTAAGTAATTATCGAATTCTCGCATTATTTCCAGAATTGGGTGAAATACGGGTTGCCAGTGAGCCAGGGTGATTCAGCAATTAGCGAGGAATCGTGTTTTTTCGAAGACAAACTTAAAAAGGATGGGCACTCGTGCTCAGGCTATTGCGTAACTGTCAACATAACGCGGGCTGACGGTGACAGCGTCAAGACGACAGGTATGCGTACTGACTCATTTCCCCGAACATGGCAAATAATTACAGCTGTTGCCCGCGACTGTTTCAGATCCTCTTTGCAATTGAACGATGGTGACCCTCCAGTTTGCAATTCTGTTCAAAAAACGGTGAATCGACGAAAGTGAGTTGTAATTTATGCGCACATCTGCTGCGCAACTGCCTAGTTTTTCAATGAAAACGATTCATTTTCTTTCTTTTTTCCAGTGTGAACGTCACCACATGTTATTGCTACGGAAACTATTGCAACGGAATCGGTTCGGCGAATGCCTCATTGAGCTCAAAAAAACTTGCACTTTCATCTCGCGAAAATAATTCTGAAACCGAATCTTCAATACCTTGGTTCCTCGTTCATTTATCGCTGATTTCTTTTTTATACTAGCGCTAGTGCTGCTACATTGCTGCAGCACGTTTAGATGTGGAAAGTCGGATGAAACTTCACTTGAGTTTCTTGGTGATGTTGAAATGAAATAAATACTGGTTAATTTTAACAAAACTTTCACTGTGAATTGATTTATATTCAGAATAAAGTTTAACTTATATTTTTAAATCTAATCCAATCGATGAAAATACTCAATTTATTAAAAATATAGCAGGCAATTATTTAAAATATTCCGTAGTGCGGCAACTGCGCTCTAGCGTACAGGCGGCAGTTTCGCTAATTTGAAATTTCCGCATCATTTAAATTCTCGCTGATTCCTTTTTTCAATTAGCTTCCTTGTTAAGTAGATCAAATCAAATAAATCTTGTTGGTTTCCTGTATTTTTGCTCTTTTGCAACATGATTCGTGCGCATTTTGACAGCCTAGGGGTCAGATATTTGCGCTCGCTAAAATCGTCGAGCAGTTGTTTTTGTGTGCGCCGTCGTTAAATTCGAATGCGTTTGTATGAGCAGTGCCGTTGATTACGCCGTTCTCGCGATCATTGCCATAATAATACTCGCCATACTCGTTTTCGTATTCGTGAAAACTTTGGTTGTTTCTCGTCGCGAAGAACATTTCGCCACCAACCTACAAACTGTTGTTATTTCTCATCCAAATTCTCATGTTGAAATGAATCGACCGTCTCTGGTAAGAACTGAATTTCCAGTAAACTGATTTTCTCTTTGAGTTGTTTAAACTTTCAATTTTACATAAAATAATAAATTGCTTTTCAGGAAGTCCCCATTATTTTTGCGAAGAAGATCAGTATGACTGACGTGGAACGAAAACCAACACATGTAAGTTTTTCAATTCAAAAAATCACGTGGAACATCTAATATATTTTAGTTACCGCCCCATAATCCACCTCCACCAGTCCCAACACATAACTCGTCGACAATTAGCAGCGCTACAAGCACATTGTCTAAAAAGCCGACAGTCGCTGCACCAGCAATTCCAATTAACAAATCGGTATTTGATTATTTAATCTTTAAATTTAACAATAACGAAACAAATTTAAAGCTCGAAAACAATGGGCGTGTTATGCAACTAAATGGACATGTCGGTTTCGATTCTCTACCGCATCAATTGGTTAAAAAGGCTGTCGAAGCTGGGTAAGTAATTTTTTGGTAGAAATTAAAAAACGAAAAATGTGTGATTATTTAGCTTTCAATTTAATGTAATGTGTGTTGGAGAAACTGGCATGGGAAAAACTACTCTGATTGAGTCGCTATTCAATATGAAGCTTGACTTCGAGCCGTGTAATCATGAATTGAAAACCGTCGAATTGAGATCAAAAACTTATGGTATTCATTTTTTGTTTACTCTTGCAATTTAAGTTATCGTGTAGATGTCTCCGAAGGTGGAATTCGCGTAAAGCTCCGAATTGTTGAAACGGCTGGATTTGGAGATCAACTTGACAAAGATAAAAGTGCAAAGGTTATTGTGGACTATTTGGAGTCGCAATTCGAAAAGTATCTTCAAGAAGAGCTGAAGGTAAAATTTGCAAAAATTTCGAAATTGATTAGTCGTTTTAGCCACGCCGAATGCTGCAATATTTCGATGATTCTCGCATTCATGCTTGCCTTTATTTCATATCTCCAACTGGTCATGGGTATTTTTGTTTTTTTCAAAAATAAGGTTTAAAATGTTCACATTGTAGACTTAAAGCTCTAGACTTGGTCACTCTTCGTGATCTAGCCAAGCGTGTTAACGTAATTCCAGTTATAGCCAAATCTGACACGACTTGTAAGGATGAGCTTCTCCGGTTCAAATCAAAAGTAAGAAATATATTGAATAAAAAAATACACTTTTAACAAATTATATCAACCAGTTTTTTTTTTTTTTTTAATTTTACATTTCTTCAGATATTGAGCGAACTCGAAGCTCAAAACATTGAAATTTATAAATTTCCAACCGATGATGAGACCGTTTCTGCGACGAATCATGCAATGAATGCTGCTGTGCCATTCGCCGTCGTTGGTAGCTGTGATTTTGTCAAAAAAGAGAACGGACAAGTTGTCAGAGCTCGACAGTATCCATGGGGTATAGTCGAAGTGGAGAACGAGCAACATTGTGATTTTGTGAAGCTTCGTGAAGCGCTTCTGAGAACGAATGTCGATGAAATGAGACAAAAAACTCATGAGGTAAAAATTAACGAGATTTTGCCGAAAAAAGATTAAATGTCAGGTTCTATATGAAGCCTATAGGCGAGACAGATTAAGACAAATGAAAATTGGCGATGGAGAGACTGGCCCGAAAATTATTGAGAAATTGGCTGCGGTTCGTCTTTTTTTTGTAATTTCTGTGTGCAGCGTTGAAATTTCAGAAACATCGAGAGTATCAAGATGAGTTTGCGCGACGAGAGCTCGCATTGCGCGAAGAATTCCAGCACAAACTCGATTCAACTGAGGCAGAAATGCGCAAAACCGAAGAAAAGGTTTGACAATAGTAAATTATTTTAAAACAACGCTTTGATGTTTTTTTACAGCTGACGGCAAAAGAACGAGAAATTCAAGAGGAATTTGAACGAGAATCAAATAAACTTGATCTTGAAATTCGTCAATTGACCGATGAAAAAATGAAATTGATGTCAAAGATGTCCAAGAAGCTCCGAAAATAATTATTCTTGCCGCCAATGTAAACAATTTTAACCCATTAACAGCTATATTTTCTTTTATTATACTATGCATAATTATTCTGCCTACTGGTACTCCAAAAATCTGTTGAAATACAAAGTTTATTTTATTTTTGACGCGAATTATATTGGGCAGTTAAAACCATCGCCGAATATGCATGAGCACTCGGGGAGAAATGAGCATGTGTCGAACTAAATGAGAGAATAAGTAGAATTTTAAAAAATGAAAATCACACCAAATTTCGTAGGCATGCATTATAACAGTTGTAGATTCCCGGATCATGATCTGTTGGATTCGGTGAATCGAGATAAATGGAATTGCAGGCAACCCAACACATAATATCTCCATTATTGGCAGGATATCTATTGTTAATCTTTTAATGTTTCTTGTTTCGGCTTTTACTCACCCTTTAGGATCTTCTAATGGAAAAGATGTACACTTGATAACCATAAAGCATATAATAAGGAATATTGGATTCATTAGTACGTTTGTATCTAATTGATGTGTAGTTATCATCATATCATGTCGAATGTTTATTTACATTATTAAATGATAATATATTTGGTTTAATCATTCATATAGAGGCATGAGTTCGCCTTGAGCAGTAGCACGTCCGACCTCGTTCTCGCAAAGTACTGTGAATGTGCCTAAAATGGTGCTCTATCAAACGTTGCTTATGACGAATTTTTTTACCGTAGTGATAGGGTTGAACGTATGGAATGGTGAGTCGGCAGATATCTGCGGTGTCCTCGATGATCACGTCGGTGAATCGAATTTTGTCTTCGTTAAAAAGCCAGCAAACCTTAAAATTTACATTGAGCATTGAAAAATTGATTGGAAATACTTTTGGTCTTGGACTTCCCAGCACGACGCAATCGAAAACCGCTCTTCCGCCAACATGGACTTTCACATCTCCAAAAACCTGAAGTCTTAATTTTAATTGGCGTTTTAAGGAAACAAAAGTAATACTTTTAAGAATTCGGGAGCATAATTCCACGGGTTTTGGGCGTACTTATTTTTGGGAATCTCATACGCCAAATGGTTGACTTGCTGCAAAATTGAACTCTATTCGTTTTAATTTGAGGAATCATTTGGCTATAAAAATAAACAATCATTTATAGCCAAACGCAATGTGTTGTAGGAAATGGTTTCATTTTTATTTGGAGAAAAATCAACTTGCCTTGGTCAATGGGCTAACTTGCTGTGTTGATCTATACACACCATCAATACAATCAACGTTCAATGTGCTGTTATAGCTTCGTGGTGGTGGTTGTGGCGAGTAACTCATTTCTGAAAAAGAGATTATGGTTATATTTTTAATTTATGGAGGCAGAAAGAGGATTAATCATTGTGATTAAGACGATTTTTGAAGTTTCCATAAGCTAAACAATTTCTTTGTTTAATGGAAACCGTCTCAAAGTTTCGAATGTTTTTTTTTGTATATAAACAAAAGAAACTTAGAACAGGAAAAGATCAGAGAGCAAGTGGAAATCAATAGAAAAAAATTGTCAAAACCATTTGAGCGGCAGGAAATAACCCGAGTAATGTAAGTGGGTGGGCGTTAGAGAAGCACATTTTTTTGCTAAACAAAAAAACGCGATGCGCGAGAGGGCAAATATTGAGATTTTGGACGGAGCACACGATACGAAAGATCTTCACGAACGTTTTGGACATTTGGGACAATGGTGAGAAATAAAAAAGATTTTGTTGGCTAGGTAAAAAGGGTCATTGGTTTGCGTGAGATTTTTAAATTATTTTAATAGATCTATTTGTGAAATGTAAATTTTTACAAAAAAAAACGTAAAAACAAATTACATTAAATTTGCATTTTCTTTTATTAATGTGTGAATATTGCAAAAATTGCTATTTCTACATTTTTATTGCATGAATAGGATCGGTATTCAAAAAATTTCATATTCGTAACCGGAAATAGACGTAGCAAAACCGATACATTTTTTCAATTTAAAGTTCGAAAATATTCAACTCGCAAGGGAATTTCAAAATTTGGTGAAAAGAAATAAATGAAATACTATATATCCCAGGATAACGAAAATATAGTAATGAACGGGATTATTTCGCAGATTTATATCCAAACCCAGCGAATTTCAACTGTGTAGATATAAATTTATTGTAGGGTCTGTCCGATAAAAATCTCAACACCCTTCAGTTGTTGTATTTTTACAATTGGAAACAACAGGAAGCGGAAAATCAAATAAACAATTTTGCATGCCAATTTTTCAATTTTCTTTTGTGCTCTGTTGACTTGTCGCCGCGCATCCAACTGTTGACATATTTCAGTTGTGTTTGCATTGTTTCGGTTAGGTGTCTGAACTTCAACTCAAAAATTTTATGAAACAAAAAATTGTGAATGTACAAATTAGTCTGTTAAATTTTCTTCATTCGTTTTGGAAGCCCCAGAATCATTGTCAAATACTTTTTCTTTTCATATTGATAATTTTCCTGAAACACAAAATTAAATTTTAATGGCAAGGTCTGTCTTACGTGAAGTTTCGTGGAATTCAAAAGTACTGGGAAGAAGTCCTCAAAATAATCAGTAAACTGAATATCATTGTTGTTCTGCTGATCTTGAAGCTCATTCTGAGCTGGAGGACGCGATTCTGCGAGTGTAAGAAAAAGAAGAAGCAGGAGCAATCGTTGGAATGCCATCATCATCGTTCTGGAATTTTCTTGTCGTCAATGCGTGTATGTTAAAAATGACCTTGTATATATGTACATAAAAATAATTATTATGAAGTAGACACATTAATGGATTCGAAAGTCTTTGGCCGAAAGAAAATAACTACATGATTGGGCGGGTCATGAGACGATATATATTTCGACCAATGGTCTAGACAAAGTACAAATTTTGTCAATCCAAAATTGAAGTTTCTGGTTTTTTGAAGATGGAATTCGAAATGAGAATTAGAACATATTTTACAATTTGAGTATTTTCAGGTATTTCGGAAGGTTTAAATCTATTGAATTAAGGAAGACCGAACTCGAAAAATAAAAGCAAATCTTGTGAAGTAAAGATGACAATCAATTTAAATTGAGAAGCATTTAAATATGAAGAAAAATCAATTGAAAAACAATTAAACATATGGTGTCGAGTAGTTTAAAAATCGAAACCATCTGTTTTTGCACGTTCACTGTAAAAGGAATAGAATTATTACAATAAGTGAAAAACAGAAAACGGCAAGTGTTCAGATCAAAAATGGCGCGATTCAACAACATTTTTTCGCTGTTGATATATAATTTTTTCCCGTTTCGACCTTGTCATTCAAGAGTCATTTTTTACGAGTTTCGACTGAAATACTGGAGAGGCGAGATGAACAAGACGACTGAGGAAAGAATTGCGTATGTGTGTGTGTGTGTGTGTGAAATTGCGAATGGTATTATTATCAAATGTAATGAACATGTACATGTATTTATCACGCGCGATCAACAGCGTCACCTATCGACAATCCTTCTTCATTTTCACTTCCGCGCGATTGCTGGCAAAACTGCACCCAGAATGAACAAAAATCTGGATGTTAATGATTGATTTGACGAATAGGATGAAGTGTGAAATCAAATTCCAAGTTAGTATAGGTGAGCATAATAAAATTGCGTGTTCCCTTATAAACCTCTCCTTCCTGTGATTTTGATGTTCTTATCTGTTAATTCAAATTTCCGACATTCACGATATAAACATAAGGATTTTCATAATTGCCCATTGGTTTGGCTCTCGAAATGTTCGTTTTCAATTTTAAAATTTCAATTTTGATGTTATTTTGAGACCCTCATGTGCCCACTGACGATGACTCACGTTCTCCCCGTGCTGCGACCAGATTCCAACTCCAAATTCATCCAATTCTATATTAATATTTCATTAGCATTGTTGTTTTTTTCTCACCACCAATTAGAATTAATTATAAATGTTGTTATAAACCCTCGAAAATGAGATGACGATCCCAACACTTGTTAGCTCACACATTTAGTCATCTTCAATTTGTAATCGTAAATGGATTAGGGCATTCCAGACTGATTCTTAAAGCAACAAAAAAAAGCTAATTTATTATGGAAAAATGATGTGATTTATATACATATACAGATTCGCAATTTCTCACATGTCGCGTTAATGCGATTTGTTGAGAATCCTTAAATCGAATCATAACTTTGCGTAGTGCATATTGCAGGGTAATGTATAATTAAAAAAGGAAAATGTCAAATTTCTCAAATAGGTCATCACCAAATAAATATAAATCACATGCAAATATGATAGGCTACCATATTTAGAAGTCTTCTCTCAATGGGACCAACATTCATTAAACAGCTGGGTTTCATAAATTCCGGGTAATTATTAGCCACCCTGTACACATATGTAAGAGGTAAACGAACGAAACAATTAATAAGTGATTTTTGCAGATTAGGCGTCGTACAATAAATTACGGCAAATTGATGTAGTTCACTATGATGACGTGATAATCAAGGAGAGAACGAATTGCATCCATGAACTCGTCGATATTTTCGACGGTGAAGCCGATTCGCACTTTTGCACCGCAATCAATCACCACATTGGATTTGGTTTGCGGGCGTGGCGACACTCCAGCAAGACATCTTAAAATTGATAATTGAGTTATACGGTTTTGAATTGATAATGGTTTAATGTTATTGGAGCTAATTAAATTGGGATTAAGATGAAATTAAAATGAATCGTTATTGAGATTATGATAAATTTCTGACCTATATTTGCCACGTTTGATTAGCATATTTGATATATTGAAATATTTTGAATTTTGAATAATATTTAAAAATGTTAGAAATTTCTAGAAATATTAGAGAGCAGCTACAATCTCGATACACACACTTGTCAGTTTGTTGAATATCGAAAAACAAAAAAGCAAATGTGTTAAGGTTTTTTTGCTTGCCTGGCAAGTGTCGATGTTTCATGGAAAAGTTGCTCAAATCATTACTTGTTGTCTAGTTCAAAAGTTGATTCGTCAATTTCGGATCGCGCCGAGGGGTTCGATAACAAGTTCAAACAACTCGTGTATGTTCTCGAGGTTCTGTGAAAATTTTGTTGTATCCAAATTTTTATGATAAATATTTGATAATAAAAAGTTTTTACTCACCTTTTCACATCAAGAGCCCAATAAATGCATGGCGCTGATGCTTTTCCCCATACTTTGGTCGCTGCCCCTTTGCAGGTTTCTTGGTCCTGAAGATACATAAAGTATAATTTTGCAAAAATTGGAGGTTACCTCAAACCACAAGGTATTAATCGACTTCAACGAAACAGTTTTGGTTTTCTTTGTCGGAAAATGATAATTTTTAATGAATAGCGTGTATTGTGATAATTTGACATGCTCGTCTTCATAAATAATCGACATTGCTGAAATGAGACGCATTAGGATCATCAAAAAGCAATGAGAAAACAGCAGCACTAATTCGAATATTTATGTAAGGACAGGAGGAGGCGGCGCCGCCCACAGACAAAAAGAATTGAGAGGAGGCGGATAATCTTCTGAGAATAAAGCTTATAATTATTATAATACTATACCAACACGAAAACGAGGAATAAATAACAAAAATAGATATTTTGGATTGCGTAAAGGATTAACGTAGAGTTGTAGAATTCCTAACAATAGGATGGATCAATATTGTTGTTCTGGAGAGTTCCGGAAGCTCAAAATATTCAGTGAGAGTACATTTTTTTGAGAACAAAGTGCTATAAAAAAAGAAAATTCAAACTCCAATAGTTCAATGGAAAAAACTTGTAGCGAGACAGGAATAATTTTCAAAAATTATTCGGATATCAGGAAGATTGCGTCAAAGGAAATGCTTGATTGATAACGGGCCTAAAAAAATATGGGCCTAAAAAACAGATTAGCATCTAGCCGAGAAATTCCTTTAAAAAAATATAGATATATAATACGCCAAAAATAAATTATTTTTGAAGCCCTTCGTGTTTTTCTTGCGAATAACACACATGTGTATTCATAATCAAATTAATGATTAGTGCGAACGGATTTACTTTTATATTAGAGATGGTACGGGAGAGAATCTTCAGGAAATGTTTTAGAAAAAACTTTTTACAGGTTGAAAATTTCTGAGAAAACCGGGAATAGCTTGAGTTAGTGGTTTGTTTTATTTTTTAGCAGTTTTAAACAATTCCCGTTCATTTTTTTCAATAATTATGACTTTCATTTCATTAGTTCTGTAAAATTGTTGCTATTGGAACAGAATATCTCAAAAATGAACATTGTCTTCAAATTACGTGCCATAAAATCTACCGTAATTTTTGCTCGAACAATTTTTCAACATTCCGGGAAAAAAAACAATTTCTAATGTAGATTAAAGCGCTTGGGAAAACCAGGAATTTTCTCTCTGGTTTCTTAATCGCCTTCATTTTCCGGTTGAAAATCATTTCGCAAAGAATTATGAACATCTTCAAATGCGGGATGATCTATGTATGCTATTCTGACTAATTGAAAAGATGAATAAGATAGACGGGAATTAAAAAATTACTTTCGAAGGAGTTAAGAAATGGAATATATGAAAATGCAAATGTTTATATACATGAGAGGAGCTACATTAACTAATATTCCGATTATTAGCAGTATTGTTGAGTTGACGCAAATCTCCCTCATCATTTCTTTTCTTCTCTCGAGGTAATGTGCGTCATGGAATGATGAATTTGACTCAGAAAATGTAGCCCAGAAATAAAAAAAAACTCTTGATGTCATGCGATTTCAGGTCAAACTAGTATTCTGATAAAATTTGAAAGTGATAGTTCAGACATATAGTCGGCGTCCGGCGATTGCTGTTCGCAGGTAGATTTCCGGGAATGCTTTTTTCGAAATGGTCTCGCAAGGACTAACAGGTTATTTCAAATTTTATGGACCGGTTCGATAATTTTTTAATCGAATATCGTTGGAAATTCAAGAAAATGCGAAACTCATCAAGAACAATAAAGCAGTTCACGTGAAAACAGCAAAATAAGCATTCACGCGTGGCGAGACCTTTTCAAGGCGCATGCGCGTAAATCTACCCGCGTACAGAAGTCTCCGAACGCCGACTATACTTGATTGTTAAAGTGATTACGGTACTCAGCATATTTGGTAAAAACTCAAAAACCCGATTAAAAACAACAACAAAACTCTAAAACCCAAAGCAGATTGCGCAAAATACCATTTTTAAAATTTTTCAAGATTTCATTCCAAAATTTGAATCGCAAAATTAATTTTCTTGAAAATAATTATTTTAGCGCGTCGTTTTCTCATTTTTAAAGTCGAAGATTTCTGTCTTTCGGCTAAATGCCAAAAAATTAAAGGAGATGTCTCAGTGCGCGGTGTGCGCCTTTAACCTATCCAAAATGCATAGGCCCGTAAATCCACACATTTAGTTTCGCGCCAATACTACTGCTGTTGTTTTTTGACATTTTGCCAATTTTCGGCACAAATTTTTATTCTTCTTCTTCTTCTAAAGTCCTACAATTATATTTACAAACAATATTTTATTTATGTTCGAATTTCTTAATAAGGCAACTGATAATTCGTGTAGTCCGTCACGAGAAACGTATCCATTCATTTATTTTTCTAAAAATTAACGCATCGAAAGGATTATCCGTAGTATTATTCGATGAATTGACGAGCAACGAATGATTACAAGAATAAGCTTGCTGATATGCGATTTCGTAATGCGAAGAAGACTGACTATAGTAAATTTGCGTGGATTCTGATATTTGTCGAATAAAATGAAATCAGTCTTCATATGAAATTTTCTTCAATTTATGAGAAAAATCAACGCAGCAGAAAATTTGATTTTTAAAAAGTAATTTAAATCAAATTTTAACCCCAATTCTTTCTCAATTTTTTTTTATTATTTTAATGAAAGGAAAATATTATATTTTGATGACACAGCGTGATTTTTTGAGTGCGCGTGAAATTCATTGAATGTTGTCAAGCGCACAAAATTAAGCAATTTTTCGATTATTTGGAGTTCCAAGTATGTCGGAAAATATAAGCGAGGTAAATTTTTAGGTCGTTTTTTTTAAATAAAGAATACCACTGGTTTCTTTAAAGGTTCATACTCGTCATCGAACATGTGTTGTCTGTAATCAATCGGTACCGTATTACTATTTAACTTCATTCACGAGAAGGCCGGACCAACAGTAAGTATTGTCGAGGACAGGCTCAGCGAATTTGTGGCTCGTTGAATTTGCTCCGTGTTTGTCCTCTTCGCTCGAATGTTGCCGGCGTGTGAAAATCGGAACGGGACTAATTTACGCGCTGCCGGCATATCAAGCACAAAACTACAGTATACATAAAAGGCGCATTCAAAAATTGTGATTTTCGGGCCAAGAATTCAAACTGAATTTAATATAAATTGAATTTATGAAAATCAATTTTCTTCAATTTCAAAAAAAACTACCCAATGTGCTTGTTTTTTGAGATGGTTAATAATTAAATTTCTGATAGTTATTTCTTTGACAGTAAAAAAAAAGAAAAATTGAAATAATTGCAGAAAATATTGGATTCGGATTCTGGCGAATAACGACAAAGGCACCGAAGAGAGCCTCGAAGCCAAAACGTCATTTGGAAGAAAGTGCGAGAATCTGAATTTTATTTCTCTTATTTTTTGTTTAGATACATTTGTTTTGATCACTTTCCTCCAAATTCCATCAAATATCGCGAAGATGGAGGCATTGATCTCATCCGGTACAGCACGCCACTGCCTTACGTATCTTCAGAATTTCAGCGGAACAAATATCATTGTATAAGAAGGAAGCCATTGATGAAATCTCAGGTATTAACAAGAAAAACAACCAAATTTCTATTATTCTTATTAAATAACAAACAGGAATCAATTCAACACACACCCTTTTTCTCCGCCGGATTTCTTAACGAAGAAATGCGTGTCAAAGTCATGGCAGTAATTTTAAATGCAGCGAATCATTATATAAACTTGATAATGAATAAAGAGTGAAACATGCAATAAACCATTTTAAACAAAGTTGTAAGTGAGGTATTTAGCTCAAATCGGCTTGTTTTGAGACCAATTTATAATATGCGCCATCAGAATTTTTGATAAGCTCATCATGAGTTCCAATTTCGACAATTTGGCCTTTTTGCACAACAGCAATACGGTCTGCTTTTCGGACCGTCGAAAGTCGATGCGCAATGACAATAACTGTACGATCAGTAGCACATCTAAAAGTTTAATTCAAAACCTTGTTTCACATACAATATAAAACCTATTGAGAGCTTCTTGAACTTCTGCTTCTGATTCAGTATCCAGGGCTGAGGTAGCTTCGTCCAAAATTAGCACAGAAGGATCACGTATTAAAGCACGTGCTATAGCAATTCTCTGCTTCTGGCCTCCTAAAAATTGACAAGTTACTGTTTCTATGAAAAGAAAAACAAATGGTTACCTGACATCTGTACTCCCTTCTCACCACAAAGAGTGTCGTAACCTTTCTCCAGTTTCGATACGAATGGATCAACATTCGCCAACTTCGATACTCTCAGCATATCATCCTCAGTCGCTAAACATTCTAGCTGTTCTTAAACATTTATATGTTTTTCACTTGCCCTCTTCCATTCCATATAAAATATTATCGCGAATGGTTCCGCTAAATAATGTTGGTTCTTGCGCAACCAGAGCAATCTATATTTCTATTTATTTATTTTTTATTTTCGAACACCGTCAACCTTTTTATGGTAGTATTCATGACGAATGTTTTGAACAGGGACACCATCAATCGATATTCGCCCATTTTTTGGTTCTGAAATATGATATTATTTTAAATGAATCCAACAAAATTTGTTTATAATTTTTCTCTTTTGAAAGTTTACATTTTAATGTTTATAAATGTTTACCGTAGTAATGTTGAATTAGAGAAACAATTGTAGTTTTTCCATTTCCACTATGACCGACAAGTGCTGTCGTCTTTCCTGGCTCAAAAACCAAATTTAGTCCCTACAATAATCAAAATGTTTGTTTTCTTCTATTTTCTGAAATACTTTCAGAACATCCGTATTTTTTCTCGTTGGATATGAAAAATCGACCTCCTCGAATGCGATTTCACCAGAAATTTCCGGTTCCAAATTTCCTTGCTCCAAATCAATTAAAGGAGCTCTGTGAAGAAGACTAATCACTTTCCGTGATGATCCAATGGTTTTCATCAGATCCGTAAACATGTTACTGAAGCTCTGAAATCAATTTGATATTTATTTTTGCTATGGTTCTATTCGTACATTGAGCGTATTTATCAAATTGTAGTGATAGAAAATGAAACTCAATATAGTTTTCGACGACATTCTTCCTGAAAAACTGCCTTAACGCCGAGTATACAATTTTCTTTCTCACCAGTATCAGCTAAGTAGGCTCCATATGTGAATACGGCAAATCCCATTACAATCCAGCACATTGACCAAATCACATCAAAAATCGATTTGAACAAAACACTAAACCAAATTGAATTGGTGAACAATTGTGTGATCTCAACCTTTTCCTTCCAATTTTGTAGCATTCATCAGTTTTTCCTTTATAATTGTTCATTTCCATCTTCTCGGCAGCAAACGATCGAACAGTTCGAATAGCAGAGAACACTTCTTGCACAGTTTCATTCGAGCGAGCGGTTGTATTAGTCTCAATTTCAGATAGCTTCTAAAATAAAACTAAAACCGTATAAATATACAAAACGAAGGCAAACTTCTGTGAATAGTCCATAGTACTTCGTTGATAACCAGAATAGAGGAAAACTGATAAAAGCTATCTGAAAATTAGGCGAGAATTAGGAACACTGCGTATTTATTATTACCGTTGTTAATCGCCATGACAAATACAACATGATTGGTACCGTTCCACAGACGGTCACAATACTTTTTGTCGCCGTTTCGAAATTTTTCGGCAATGATTCAGATATCGAGCCACTGTCATGGGTAATTCTAGACATGAGCTGTCCGGTTTTGTTTGTGTCGAAAAATGCGATCTCCTGTTTCAATAGCGCGTTAAAAAGCGCGATGCGAACTTGGCATGAGGTTCGATTTTGAGCGATTCCCATCGCAAACGATTTGGCAGCGGAGACAAATGATCTGGAAATAACCATTTGTTTGTTTCTGTTCTGGATTTGTTTGTTATGAATTTTGGTAACAACTATTATTAAATCATTGTCCTTCTAAACTCACATGATGACCCATAATCCGTAGAGATATGCTATGCTAAGCGCTACCTCGGTGAACTTGTGTTGTTGGACAATCACATTGATCATGGTTCCATAAAGCCATGGATCCATTAGAGTTACTTAACAAACATAATAATTTTTTTTTTAAATTAATACTAACATCCACAAACAACCAGCAGCAATACGTAGGACACCGTATAAAATCGCCATTGTTTTCCACAAATTTTCGCTATAAGCCATATGTGTTGAAATAATGGAAGCCTAGCCTCATCTTCTTCTTTCTTATCTTCCTCATTTTCAGAATCTACAATTGTTGTTGTTTTATTAATTATTTCAAATTGATGGTTACCTGTATTTTCGGTAGTGGTTGATTCCTCGTCTTCATTTTCCAATTGCTCGTATCCGAATTTTTTGCCAATTACAGATTTTTTGACGATAACGTACAGGAGAGTAGAGCACAAGATTGAAGAAACAACATTGATATATACACCGGGATAATAAATATATCCCGCATTTTCGTCGAATACGAGAAATTTCACCAGCGAATACCCATAGAAGAGAATACTTATCGTTGTCACCACAGGATCCAATTTCTCAAGCGTCTTCTTACTAGAATATTTTGCGACTAGTATGCACACTATTAATGTGATCATGCGGATGAAGAAAAGAATAAAAAATTCAAAGAGGCTTGTGAAGAAATTGTACTGAAGCACATTGAATGTTGAAAGAATTTTCCCGTATTCGATGGTCCAAGTTTCGTTGTATAACGTGAAACCGAATAAAGTGGCATGTAGGTCACATATTATTAAAATAACTGGTAATAACCTGTGGATACGGACGTGCATCCTAAACTTGAAAATGTTATATTTTAGTATTTTTAATAAAATAGTACACTCATGTCCGAGAACATTATTAGTCATTCTAAACAAAACATATGAGTAATAAAAATGTATTTATTTATTTTTAAAATGTATTGTTTTCCATATATTTTGCCCATCTGCACGTTTTATTCCACTTGATCTCAATATAAATAACTTGAAACGACAAAAAAGAAGAAATGACAAACCTTTTATCGTATAGATACAGTTATTAAAAAAAGAAAAACAATCTCTATTTTTAGGAAATAAATATTTTGCACAAATTTGGAAGAAAAATTGAAATAGAGGCCACGGCCATCTCAGAACACAAAGTTTTCTGTCATAAATTATGAAAATTAGTATAATTAAAAATGGAAAAAATAAGAAGTCGAAGTAAAAAAAAAGATTTTCGCTTATAATAATAATACATTTCGTATAATGAATTGACGTTAAAGAAAAAATAAAAAATAATGTTTAACGATCGTCTCGACTAGGATGGTCTTTCAAGTGGGCGTGACGGCTTCGTCCTGTCCTAGGACAGACCAACATTCTAGGACGACTCGGGCCAAATCAGGTTAGCATCCCAGGCCGACCTGGGCCATGTTTTTTCTCCCTCCCATAACAACTCCACATTTTGACATTCTGATACGATAACTTATAAACTCTCGTTTAATTTCCCAAAGCGTTTTATATTTTAGAATGTAATCCACGTAAAAATAAAACGTATTCGATTCCGTCGCTAAGAATCATCAGTTCCTAATGTTAAAAAGAAGATCCATGCAAAGCCCGGCCTGAAGATATATTCCTCGCGTTCCTTCAGATTACTGCATGTTTCAATGACGTTCGCAAACGTGCGTTTCATCGAAAACAACAATTGTCGAAAGCTCAGTTAACCCAACCCAACAAAATCGATAGCATTCTGTTGTAATGTTGTTCAGCTCTCAAGGCCGCTCGTTTGACCCGATCGACCAACCTGTTTTAGTCGAATTCAAATATACTTTTTACGCGATTGATTCGATAGTGTCCATTCGTTAAATATTTTTATTTTATAGAATGAAAACTGCTATTCTATTGGTCTTCTTAATCTGCATGTCGTTTGCATGCGACCTCATCGTCCATCTTAAGTCCGACACGACCAAGAAGTTTTCGGCTCAAATTACCGCTGGCAATGGCAAGAAATCGGACAAGTAAGTTTCAGCCCCGAACAACTATGTCTAGTTATTTAAATTTAGATGGACCTACGACAAGAAATTGCAAAAGAACACCTTCCACCAAAAACCGAATGAGTGCGGAATTGGAAACTGGTCAATCACTACCTGGGATGAGAATGGAAAAATTGCTAATACAGTTGAAGTCACTTTGGACGGAATTGGACGTGTTACTTACAAGGCAAGTACCAAATTATATAGTTGTACATATCTATCGCGATTTCAAAAAATTTGATAAACATAAGTAATTAATTATAGGTTGGTGACGATTTGAAGCCAGTTCAAAAGGATCGCCAGGGAGCCATCTGCAAGGGAGAATGTGCACCCCTCTAATCATTTTATCTTTTCTCTCTAATAAAAATTTTATCCGGAATTTGCATTGATCAAGGCACGGTACATTTTCAAGTTTGCGCAATTTGTAAAATTATATACATTGAAACGAAATGGCTAGACTAGGAAATTTGGATAAAATGTCAATGAATTTAAATTTAAATTGTTGGTTATGTTCAGTAATCACTCAGTTAAGGAATCGAATCGACATCTTCTCTTCGATGTCGGTTTTCTCCATGGCTCGGCAAAATTCCTCAAACGAGATTTTTCCATCACGATCGGCATCCGCTTCCTCGATCGTTCGATCGGCAATTTTATCAAGCTGAAAATTGTGTTGAAATTTTGTATCGAATTCATTTCATACCTGTTCCGAAGTAATGTTCGCTCCAACCATACTGTTCAGAATTACCTTGAACTCTTCCCTGGTGATGTAGTCATTTTTGTTTAAGTCATACATCTTGAATGCAACTGAAATGTTCCCATTTAAAAATATCCAGATTAAAATGGAGCAAAATTTCTTACAAAGAAGTTTGTCTTTACGCGAATTCAGTAAATTCTTCTTGGATCGCGAAATCGGTTGAAAATGAGCTAGAATTTTGACAAATTGCCGAAAATTGATTTGCTGCTCCTCATCTCCGCCGCTGAAATTCAATTTTATAGGAGCTGAAAGACGAAAAAGAAATACGTTAAAGTGAAAAATGCATCAATGATTCGATCACCAAGCGGATTCACAGCGAGTTCCGGAACATTGAGAAAGTCATCGCGCGACAGATAACCCTGTCCTAAATTCCAAATGTCAACAAATTAAAAAATCAAAACTAACCTCTTTTATCAAGTGACAAAAATCGACTGTAAAGGCGAACAATCTGGTTCCGATTAACTGAAAATTGTCATAGTAGGTTATTTTTTCTTGAAATAAAAAAGAACAAACATTCAGTTTCATTCATTATTTCTTCAATTTCTTCGTCTCGAAGCATCAAAGTGCTGTTATTGCCCATTTTTGCTGAAGATACGATTGATAAAAACAAATACCCTCGATTTTGTTCATAAAAAAATGTGTGCAATGTGACAAAACCGTTTCAAAATATAATACCCACAATTTGCATAAGCGGACAAACATCAGCCATAAATCAATTAATCAATTGAGAGAGAGAGAGAGAGAGAGACAGTGACATTACGCGCTGACTACAATGTACTGAAGATAATCTCAATTCGTTGAGTCACGAGTTTCTTTTATAAAAATAATCTAGATGTTTCTCAAAAAGCATCGTATTATTCAACAAAACTGATGGTAATAACAATAACAACAATTAAATAATGCCTAGTTGATTATTTGGCGGGTGCCTGCATTCGATTTGGGTTGTACGTATCGAATTCTTCTTCTTCTTCCTCCTCCTCGTCAACGTCACTCTCATCCGAGTCTTCACTCTCTTCTTCGTCTTCTTCACTGTCGCTGAAAATTAGGGAATTGATAAATCGAAAACAAAATGTGAAAAGTGGCTATAGAAAATGATGAGCGAATCAGTGCAAAGGGAAACGAAGTATGTCCTAACTAAGCCAATAAGGCTTGAAAATCCATAAAATTTTTTGCATCATAAATTCCTAATCTTTTCTATTTCTCTGGACATTTTAGAAAAACAAAACTTTGAACATTTTTTCTTTCAAAAAGTACAAGAAAATATCAACGTTCAAATTTAAAAAAAACCTTGGCGGAAGCATATCATCATCAATCATTTGATCACTTTTAGTCCCTCTTTTAGCCTCTCTTGTCATTTTTTCAGCTTCACTCTCAAATCGTGATGGCCATTTTTGCAATTCTCGAATATATAGCACATTTTCCTCATCTAGGACGTGCTCGATTTCACCTTTTACCTTAAAATGATCACATATTAATAATAATAATGAAATAAAAACTATTCAATACTTTGTCTCCTTCATCAATTGGCCGGATAACAACAAATTGACCACGGCGAATCCAGACGGCTTTACGAAATTTTGAAGGCATTGACACCACATACGTGTCACCAGTTTCATCAATAATCTAAAATCGGAAAACTTTCAAAATTATTTCATAATTACAAACCTCATGTAAATTATTTCCTCTTGATTGAGTAACCTGTGCAATTATATCCCCGTCATTAGGAATGTACATTTCAGATTCCACCTGAAAATGAAACTATTAACCAAGAAATAAAACATTCCATACCTTGTTGGTGATAAAACGACGTTTGCTGGCAACAGACATTTTTGAAAATTGGCGGATTTTAGTTGAATTATGTCGGAAGGTATACGATATGTGTAGCTTTCGAACTTCTTATACGCATAAAAATGAAACCCTAAAAATGGGAAGAATGAGTATGATAAACGTGAACCGCCAAATTCGCATATTCGACGAAATCATTCACTGACACGATTTAATCGTTGGCGTGATTTCTGTCGTGATAACAAACAAAATTCAGAAAATTGCAGAAATGGCATATGGATGATAATAATCAACCAATTAAGGAAAAAAAATAATTCAATTGAGAAAACTGTCAAAACCATTTTTATTTACATTTTATTTATATATATATATATACAGCTTCATAACGGAGATACAATAATAAATGGGTTGTTGGCAACCGACTCGAGAAATGGAAGGTATATTGTTGGGCAACCATCAGGTAAACTTGGAATTGTCACAGGTTTCTCCTCGAGAACTTGCTAAAGTCAAAGATTTTATCTTCTCATTCAGTTAAAAATACATACCTCGTTTTTAAAAAGATCTTCATGTATAGGACTTGTTATAATTATTTGATTATCAAAATCAGAATTCACAGCCGTGAAACTTGTCGGATAGTTTTGAGATTCAAGAGCAACCTTGATACTTGAACCACGATTCATATTTGTCATCGTGTTTGAAACCGCCGAACTTGATGCGTTACTAGGCGCGTTTTTCAGCATCAAGTTCCTTGTTTTCTCGGTGCTCATGCTGAAACACAATTCAAGTTAAAGTAGGAGAAAATTCTCTTGATAGCGAGAGATTCGGAAACTCTTGAACTGGACGCTTTTTGAGTTTTTTAAATCGATGATTAATGAAAAGTTGAAATCGTGGATTGGGTAAAATTTTTATTTCGTTCATAGATCTATTCGGCGCGAATATAGCTCCATCCGGAAATATATACATTTTTAAATGAAATTTATTGACTCGAAATGAAAATTGGCGTCAAAAATGAAACCAACACGCTAAATTTTTTGCATAGAGATTAAAGTTTTATAGATCAAATAAAATTTTGCTGAAGGATGTGCATTAATGCAGCTTAACATAGTTTTCTTTTTGCCTAGAATGGACAAATTTAGGTGAGGGGGGGGGATGAATAAAGTTTGGCGCCATGGCGCCACGTCATCAGTTTTAATTTGATCTAGAATAAAATTGATTGAAAATTGCAATAGAAAATTAAAGGAGCATGCAATAATATTTTCATCTCGCTTAAAAAAATAATAAACGGGATGGACCATTCAAATATCTCGAAACGGTCCGTTTTCGACAATAGCTCTTGTTCAACTAGGAGAGATAAAATTCTTTGAAATATACAAATTACAAATTCATATTAAATAAAGTCTACAAGTTAATGCTTAATAATTTATTCTAGATTTTATAAGACGTAGAGAAAACAAATAACAACAACAAAATCAACAACTCGAAACCCGTGTACTGATAGTTCACTAAAATACCATATTCTACTCAATTTCTTGTTTAATAGAAGCCGCTTTAACTCGTTCTTGAGTTTCTTCCATTTCTTCGTCCTCGGCTTCTTCTTCTTCCTCTTCTGCCGCCCACCATCCAACGCATCCAAGACCAGTTCCTGCCATTGTTCCAATGACTTCCATCGATTTTTCATTTTTTAATTCTTCCGCAGTCAAATCTGGCTTCAAATCTCTGAAAGTAACAATTAATAATAATATACAATTACCAATGATTCTACTTGAAGATAACATCAATCGTCTTGAATCTCACAACTTTTCCTGGATCCATGTATAATTTCGCTGGTGGCTCACCGTCTTCCGTCGGATACTCCCAATACCAGACCTGTCCATCCTCTTCGAACACATGTGGTTCTGGAAGTTTCTCAGCAGGCACAAAAATGTCTTCAAAGAATTCCAATGAAAGTGTCAATCCTAATTTCGACGATCCAATCACTTTTCCTTCTATCACTTCATCTTTAAAAGGACGAAAAACGATCATGCGAAACTGAAAAGGACAGACAGAAATTTTATTTCAGAAAAAATAAATCATACCGTAACACGAACTCTACAATTTCCTTCACCTGGTAGAATATAAGAATCGCCAATTTCTGTAATATCATAGACACAAATGCACAGTCCAAGGTCCGGAACAACCTAAAACAAAATAAATGATAATTAGCATGCATGTTCAAGGTCGAGCAGTGATTAAGCAGCTCGGCTAGCATGATAATTAGACAATTCATTTTTCAACGAAAACTACCTTACGCAACAAGTATATAAATAAATATGTTAAAAAACCAACCATATTAGCAAGCCTCTGATTAAGACGCTTTTTGATAATCTAAAATTGTTATTGTTACTTAATGGAGAAAGAAATGCTCATACCGTAGTTTGTGACTTTCCTAGCTCATGCGGTTTTATGGCAACCGTATCATGCAGTAATGATAAAACAAACATCTAAAAGTATCCATTTAACAAAAAATATTCATGTAGAAAATTAAAGATATTATCATCGATGAAAACAATGCATATTAATCATAAACACATTTTCAAATATAATTTATTAGAATAACAACATTTTTAAAAAAATGAGGTATAATATAAAATAGAAATGAGACCATAGGTGAACGAAAAGAGATTGTATAGAAAAGAGTGAAAATTTTTAAATCACCAAATATTTCTCGTAAAGCTCTCGCACAGCGTAATCATTACCCGAGCTACGATAAATCAAAGCCAAATTGTGTGCTGCCAATCTACGAAGATCATATCTGAATACAAATTGTTTTTTCTGCATGGCCAAACATTTCTTAAAACTACCTCTCACTAGGCACACATATTTCATTTCCTTCATCGTCATACTCGTATACATGTGGCGGCTGATCTTGCAAGACCTAAAATATTGATTATTTTTCTGTTCAATTATCAGGATTACCTTTTTATAGAAATGCATTGCTAATGGGAGCATCGAGAGCTGATGGAACATCCTCGCCAAATTGTAATTTACCTCATGAGAAACCGATCGTGCATTTTGATATTTTTTCATGAATGCGAAACCCTGAGCAAAAAGTAATTAGCGACGATGGTACAAACCAAAATCATACCTTTAAACAAACGATATGACGACCCGACAAATCCTTTTTGCATGACATATGGATAAAAGTCAGTGCCAAAAGTAAGCAGATTAGTGGATTCTTTCGATTGCTAACCCATACTCTCAAATATTCGCCTAAAATGGCGATTAATAAATGAATTTGCAAGGTAAAATGTTACCTAAAGCGTGGCGATATGTTCCCGTAATTAAAGAATTATTTCCTGATATCGCTTGTAGAGCATGATTATCCTTGCTCTGAAAATTTTGTATTAACATTTAATCACTTATTCGCGGAATACCTTAACAAGCGCTCTCATAATGAAACGATGGTATGAGATATTCTGCGAGTTGGCGAAAACGAAGTTCATTGCGTTGAAAATTCGCTTGTACATTATATCCCGAACAATCGGCTCCATTTGATTGGACGATTCGTTGTTCTGAAAAAAAAAACGATTCTGAAGTTTAATAAATGAAAATTGAAGTACTCTTACCGTAACATGCGAATAGAACCATCTCGTGAATTCAAAAGCCAATGCATAATTTTTAGCCTTGATCGCACAAAAGAACAAAGCGAATCGAAATGTTTTAGCCCTAAAATCCAAAAATCTCATTGCACACTCACTTCTTAATTATTAAAATAAATAACCTGTCCTCTTTGGCCATTTGTGAATGTAAAAACGCATAGCAACACACAATAAGCGCATCATTATACTTTCCTCTAGCTATATAAGCCTCCATCAACTTCAAACAATAATCATGCAACTGAAAATTGAGTGTCATTCTAATTCACAATTTTAGCTACTTACATCTACCGGCGACAGGAAATGATACGAATTATTTTGCGAAATTATTTGTCCATTCTTTTTCACCAATCTCTCCCAGCTTGTATTGCAGACAGCAGCGAGAGCAGTTGATCTTAAAGTTGTGCTCAATGGTGGGCCGCCTGAAAGAAGTGTGTTTGCTTTATTTCGTTCTATTTCTGATTCTCACCGTCTTTCGTGGCTCTGCGCTTTTTACCGATATTGTTGGTGTAAATTTCATAAAAGTTGGGAACCAGAAGCATTCTAAACTCAGCTTATTCTTCAAAATTTAAAATATGAAAACACTACTTGGCATCCTTAATGAACTGCTCATGTTTGCCAGACTGAAACAATATTTCACAACGTCTTTCCAAAAGCCGCTCATCCTTAAATTTTACTTTTTCAATTTTAAAACAAAACTAAAGTTCATAGGTTTTTTGAATGGTTAACTATTCTTACAGGCAACTGCGACGATAAATCCAGGTCGAAATTGTCTAATGTCATCAGCGCTTCTTCGCACATTCCATGCTTCTGCTGCAGGGATGATAAATTGATTCTACTGTCTACATGATCAGGCTTTATCGAAATAACTTTTTCTAAAGCTTCCATCGCTTCATTATCTTTCTTCAACGCCTGAATTCATTAAAAAGAGTTAAGTTTCATCCAAATTCTCAAGTTACCATTAAAGCAGTTCCTTTCAGATAAAAATACTCAGCAGACTCTTCAAGTGGGAAATTTGATCGATACAAATCGTCAAGGAATTTCAACGTTTGATTAAAATTTCCAAGCGCTTTACTTGCTCGTGGAATGTCCAGTATGCAATTTTCAATCGAATCATCCGACAAATCTCTTTCCAGCAATAGATTCCACAAATCCTAAATTTCAAATGTAAACCCATTTCTGCGTATTCCTGATGCCAAACCACGGAAATATTTTCTTTTTCCATGTGAAGAAACGAGATTATCAAATTAACGTGAAGAGTTATGAAAAATAATTGTTCATCAATTTGGATCTCAACAGGATCATTCGGTGGAAATGGGAAAACCGAATAAGTTCCGTTGTTATACAAAATCTGCAAAAAAATTCTAATAGAAAACCAAGATTGCTTCAAATCTTACTTGAAATGGACATTCGCCTGTCTCCCGACTGGTCATTTTGATTCCACCGTTCAATGCAACAATTACTTGCGCAGCATGGGTAAACTTATTTTTTTTCAGCAACGTTGCTGAAAAACGAAATTTTAACGATAATTTGCTTGAAAATTTCGAATGATACTTGTCAAGGTTTCTTGCTGTTGTCGAGAATCTTTGTGATATTCTCGACTTCTTAATATATAAGCTTCCAGTGCCATGGCCGTCTTTTCTTCGTCATTGATGGTAATGTAATAATGTGCTATCTTAAAACAAAAAACAATAATTATGTGTGACATGTTTAAACTCACAATCCGGATCATTTCTTGAAACCATTCAAAAGAAACTTTTGATATTTCAACGTTGATATGTTGGACAGCTTGAAGTCGTACTTTCATAGCCATAGATCGCATATCGAGTTTATCAAGTGCACGAATACGCTTGTCATAGAACTCCCAATTCTCTTGATTGAGACGTATAGCTATAAAAAAAAGAAAATTTAGAGCTGAAAAAACGTAATTTCTACCTTTATCGTAGCAACTAGCAGCTTCTTCCAGCATATTCAATTCCCCGCATTTATCTCCCAAATGAATCCATTCTTCGGGTCCGGTTTTTGAATTTAAATGTGCTTCGAGGAGACCAAACCTATAAGAATGTACGAAATACATACAATAAAAAAGTAATATTTTGAAAATTTGCTGAATTCAAATTTAAAAATCGTATATGAAAACCGAACCATAAAATAAAGTTTGAAACTTTATTTTATGTCTGAGTACAAAAAATAATTTTAATTTCGAAGAAATTTTTTGCTGAGAGTTGATTTAATAAACATACTGCACAGATTTTTGTAGATCTCCTGTGTTTTCCATAATAGTAGAAAGTAGACCATAAGCCAGAGAGTTCTTCGAATCTTGTTTTATTACCCAAAATCAGTATATTCATATTGAGATCAATTTTAAAATCGATTACCTCAAATAACAACTGAATGGCTTCTTCGTTTTTGCCACGCGCATGCATTAAGCTTGCTTGTCCAAGCATTCCATCTATGCGTTTCGTTTTTCCACGATCCGTTTCTCGCCTTTCCGTATAAAATTCTTCAACATTTTCTACTTTTACCAATTTTGGAACAGGTTCGATTGGCGGGGTTGGTTCAGGACAAGATATTTGCGATGCCAAAACTTCCGCTATCGTCATCGGTGCTTCTTCTTCCCTGATAATCTAAAAAGCAATATAAACATTTCATCTTAAGCATTTTACAACCTCTCCCATTAGCGATCGAGCTTCTTCAGGCAAACAAAGAATTCTTTCTTTAACTTCTTTTTGTTTTTCATCATTTTCAGGTTGAACTGTATAATCATTTTGATCTTCAACCTCTTCCTCATTAAAAACTTCTTCCACTTCCTCATAAACATCCTCTTCTGCTTCATCTTCAATTGATTCTGAAAAAAATAATTGAGTTCATAGTTCAGCAGGATTTTCCAAATACCGTCATTGTTCTCGATTTCTTCTTCCAACGTTTTTCCTCCAGTAATTCGCATAAATTCGTCGTAATCGATTTCATTTCTCATGAATCGATTCATCGCGTCACATAGACTTGGATCAGCTCCAATTACTTCCGAATCATCGTCTGAAAGATATTTTGAACCTATTCGAATTGGGAAGGTGAATTAAAAATATAAAAGTAATTACAGCATCTCTACATCAATATGAAAACCATACTCAAAAATTTGTTGGCTTCAGATTGAAGATATTCATCGTCAATGTCTTTGGAAATCTTCCCATTTGATGTGGATGGTTGATCCATCAGATCTAAATAAAAACAAATAGGTTTCAAAAAATTAAATAAAAAGTCGAGATATGTTAATCGTGGTGTCAACCTCAACAATAAATACATTTCAAAATCGTGAAAAACGGAAGATAACAAATTTATAATACACAACGCTTCAACAACAACATCATAACAATCGAGCTTATAATGAACATTAAACAAAAAAGACAAAAAAATCAACATGATACAATTCGAAAAAAAAAACTAATCGGAAAAATAACAAATTAAAAAATTCTATATATTTCGATGAAATTATGATTTTTATTTTTCACCAACTCCATATTCCATTGGTAGTCGTGTTGGTCCCGAAAATGGCTCGAAAGGATCAAAATCGTTGGTATTCTGGTTCCCTCTATTGAAATTCTTACGTTGGAACCCGCCATTTCCACCACCACGCGTTCGCTTCCATGGCTGATCCCCATGGCCTCCATTATTTGGGCGTTTCTAAAAACATTTATCGTTAATAAATCACGAAATAATTGAAAAATTCACAAACAGTATAAGTTTCTTACCAATCCAAAATTCTGTCTGCCATGACCACCTCTTCCACCCCCTCTTCTGAATTCTCCTCGACCACCTCTTCGATTTCCATTGAATCTATCGTTTCCATTTGCAATACCTCCGAATTTTGAGCTCAATTTCTCTGATTCTTCAGCACTTATTAGCTATAAAAATGCATATTGATTAAAAACAAAAACAAAACTATACCTCAATATCTGTAAACTCATCGTCAAGTGTGATGACAAATTTCGGGTGATCGGCAATAACTCGATTGCGCGTGTTTTGGAGAATTGTTTGATCGGGAATTACTCCATAATATCTAAATAATTAACATTTGGAAAAATTGGTTAGGGATTATGCGCAATACATTCCAAAGGCTATCAGAGCGCGCATGGAATTCATCTAAACCCCCGGCCGTCAATTATTTCAGCGATCTTACTTGTTTTCAATTCCATGAACCTCCAAGAACACATTGATTCTTTCCATTCCTCTTTCAATAAATGGTGCCAATTTCTCGAGATCAAGTTCGCTTTCCGAAACAATGCAACCAACTTTTCTTGGCTTGAAAAACTGCTTCAAAACCTGTAATTTCCACAAAATCGAAATTTCTGAAATTCGAATCAAACGACTTACAGTAATCAATCTAATTGTCTCAGGAATGCTACAAATTCGTTTTTCATAGTCAACAGTCAATCCGTCAACAGTTTGTTTGCGGAAAATGAGCGTCAATGTCCAGAAGATTGTATCCGAAAACTGCTCGTGTCGACTCTCATTGTTATTATTGCAATTATTGGAAAATCCAAGCCAAATATGTCGGAAACGAGCAGCATTTAGAAGATATCGTTCAATGCCGGAATTTGCCTTCAAAATTATTTAGTTAAAAAAGTTTTACTAAAAAAAAATACATTTTGTCTCAGTGCATTTGGGTCTTGATCGATATTAGATGAACTTCCTTCGATGTTTTGCGACTGATTTGCCTTCTCAAAATTTGAAAATTAACATGGAAAAAACATTATACAATCTCACATCTGCATCGAGACCAATTTTCTCTTTTACAGTGTGCATGAATTTTTGATCATCAATTGATTTCTGTGGATCATATTCAGACAACTTTTCAACCTTTGTAAACGGTTGCCGAACCCCATCGCACTGTAATATTAATTTCATTACATCGTTAAGGATTATAGCGAAATTTCACTTACATCTCTTTCAATTTTGTGCCGCTTTGAGCATTCGAGTGAGCATGATCGTAAATCGCAGCGCGGGCATCTGGAAAAGCAAAATGAGTCTAATATACTTAAATTTTTCTAACTAACCTGTATTTATGCTCATTTTTCCTACATATATGACACAATTTTGGATCGATTGCTGGTTCGTTTTGTTGCTGAAGACGAATTTCTTCTGCTTTTTTCGCATAAGAGTTGAGTATTTCATCGGGGGATTCATCGTCTGATTCTTCATTCTCATTAAAAATGTCTTAAAATACGTTTTAACAACATAAATAATTGCCATATTACCTTCTTCCTTCGATACTGTAGGCGATTGAACTCGATCATCTTCGTCATCGGTGATTTCCCCATCTTCATGCTCTTCAATTGTGGGATTGTTCAGAATTTCAGTCATAACTGAAATTTTTAAAATAAAATATGAACAACCATCTTGGTTTTATAAGTGAAACAAGTTATTTGATAAAAATCATGGTCGCTTTATACGTATATTTTGAACAAGTGTGAAAAGAATTAATTCACAATTATAATTATAATTCAAGAAAATATTTCATTGCTCAATATGAACCCAAAGAAACATATATTAAAAAATAAAGTTATTAGAATCCAGAAACGAAGTTACGAATATAATTTTATATGAACCAATTCTGGACCTATTCTGCGAATTGAAAAAAATTATGGTTTGCATTTTTTCTTATTCATCAACGTCAAAAAAATTAAGAAATAAAAAACTACATATTTTTTAAAATCGCAGAATAGGTTCATCAAAAATTATTTTAGGAAAAAATGTGAAATACAAGTGGCCGTGGAAACCACATTCGAAAGTCAGACCACGGCCAGATTGATAAATTCGGCCGTGGACTGACTCGGCACTATAGTGTAAAACTAGTTAATTTTTGACTCGGTAAACTGGTCAAAAAGCTGAACAGTTCGCAAAATAAAACCACCTAGTGGTTTCATCGACAGTCGGTTAACCAGTTTATTGCAAACAATGGTTAACTAGTTAAACAGTTGTAACTGGTTTCGAAAATTAACCGATTAACCCTTTGATTGAATTAAACGGTTCCGGGAATTAACCGGTTAATATAGTTAAACGGTTAATCATTTCGTGAACTTTTAAACTGAACCGTAGATTTGAAAAAGAAAAACCAAATTTTTTGCAGTTTAATCTTCTAAAAACAATTGATTATTAATCCTTCGCTGCAAATGTGGGGACCAGGGCTGTGCGGCAATGGAATTGCCGATTGCCAAAATTGCCGAAATTGCCGATTTTTCAAATTGCCGAAACTGACGAAATTGCCGATTTTTCAAATTGCCGAATTGCCGAATTGCCGAAGAGAGCGTTCGATCGGCAAATTGCCGAATTGCCGAAATTTTGATTTTCGGCAAATTGCCGAATTGCCGAATTGCCGAAATTTTCGTTGCCGCACAGCCCTGGTGGGGACCTCATCTGCATGATTACTCAATTTGGATATTTATAATGTTGATTTCAGGTTCAA